GTGTACATGGGTATGTTACAGCGTATGTAGATTTTGATATGGAAATGTGTGTAATTTTGCGAGAGTAATAAGAATCGATATCCCATGAACAAGATGAGCATGATCGTTGAGAACTATGTTTATAATTGGTAGTAAAATGAATAATAACACACTTGTTATACTAATACTCAATGGAGTTTTATCCGTGATATGAAAAACACTGGTGAAAAACATATTACACGACTACTGCATACAGCGTAAATCGCCTTTATCACAGAGTATTACGCCACTTCACGTAAAACGGGTCGTGAAATTCCGTTGATATATACACGAGTATTTTACTATTAGTATTTCCATGTAATCATATTCATGAAATTGATATAGTTGTTGATGTAGAAGTTATTAATCGTTGTGTTATATCGCGTTCGCCCAAATGTGCCTTAAATTTGATATGCAACATATGTCTTTGGTATTTCAGTCCTCTGCTACGGCAAGAATATCTCAACAGCCACACCCTAGTGTGTAAAGTATATGTGCTTAGTGCTAGTGGTATTATACCTCCTGGTGGAAGCACTGACTGTGAGAGCTACATTTGGGTAGGTGTCGGGTTGTGATTTGCTGGTGGTGTGGTATGGCGTTTTAAAGCAGTGGTAGTGCGAAGAAATTGACAATCAGCTTGAGTTTGGGTTTTTCGGCAGAGCTTGAAGATTTCCTTGAGAAATTGCGGGAATTTACGAGCAAGTTGCAAAAACCAACGAAGATTTTCTGCAAATTCTACAAAATTTCATGTAGTGTGATAATGGTAACCTTTCGAGACTATGATAGCGACAAGTTGTTCACTATCATTAATCCCGGAATAGACAACACACATTCTCCACATTTGCATAGTATCAAATTGGCACAAGCTGGAGTTCCACCCGTTTCGTGTGAAGCGGCGTAAAACTCTGTTAAATATCTGTCCTGTTATATGTCTTTCACTCGCGTTTTTCATATCACCAGGGTGAAACTCCACTGTATTGAGACTAACTGACCGATAGTAGAAATTCTCGTGTTAGTGTTAGTTAAAAGGAGTTCCACCCGTGGTATAACAAGCACTAGTGAAAGACTACTGCATATCACCGCGAATATCACCGCGTTTTTCACGGAGTATTACGCCACTTCACGTAAAACTCCATTGTAAGAGGAGTTTTGTCTCAGCAACTTTCGGTCGTTGCTGTAGATATACAATTCTAAGGAGGAAAACGCAGGAGGATTGAATTCTATCAAAGACTCCAGCAACTCTCGTACGAGTACTCTAAACCCCGAGTTCAACAAATGTTATTCCCTGCCTTGTCGTTTTCCCGACAACACTACGCTGACTATCAAGTTGATGGAAAAGCATTCTATAATGGGGGATACGAACATAGGCGCTGCAGTGATCGATATTGAGAATCGATGGTTCCATCCGAGGTGACGGGCTGAGGGGAGTGGCCACTGTAGAGATATATGCTCTTTTTCCGCAGCTGAGCTCAGGAGGTTTTTTGGAGTATACATACGAATGCGGTGGAAATGTATAGGGCAACTACATGTGTTGGTGACAATATGAAAATTGTGGGACACTTCTAAGCGAAGACGTATATAATTAGTAAGGAAACCCCTGAGCTCAGCTGGGGAGAGCGAAAATATATTCCAAAACTTATCTGAACAGTATGGGAAAATATGTATAGGGACAACTACATGTGTTGGTGATAATATTAAAATTGTGAGGAAATTTCGGGAAGTTACTGTTGGTTTCTGTACATTTCCGAGGAAAGCGATGATATATTCCTCCAACACTGATTCGAATGGCGATTGGTATCAGGTATCGGCAGATGATGAATTTGGATAACGATGATGAGAATGGCGCGGCTGTGAGAAGCTCCTCGGATGTGCCTGTGGAAACGGTAGGTCGTCGGGGAAAAATTTGCTATTATTTTTTGTGGAAAATCAACTACTGAATATGGAAATTTCGGGGAATTTTCATTGGTTTCTGTACAGTTGTGTTCAAACTTGTCTATAATTAGTGAGGAAAACATCTAAGCTCGGCTGAGTAAAGTGAACATATATTCCTCCAACACATAAAGGAAGGTGTGGGAAAATATGGGCAACTACATGGGTTGACGACGATATGAAAATTGTCCTTATGATTTCTTGTACGACATTTTCTTCATAGTGATCGCTCTCACACAGTGTCGGAAAATATGCACATGGTCAACTACATGTGTTGGTGACAATTTGAAAATTCTGGGAAATTTCTGAATTTGTACCAGAATTCGTATACAAACTTGCGGAGTAAGTGAGGAAACGTCTAAGCTCGGCTGAGGTTGGTGTACATATATTCCTCCAGCACTGTGGAGAAGTGATGACCTCTCTCCGTGGTCGCGGGTAGGTACCGTTGCTGGTTGATGGGAGTTTTATACCAACAGGACGATTGAAACTTTGGATTGAAATTCTGGACGAATCGGAGGTGAACTTCAGTGTTGGATGCTATAGGGTTGATTTTGATGTTGTTGTTGTTGTTGTTGTTGTTGTTGTTGTTGTTGTTGTTGTTGTTGTTATTAATCTTGTTGTTGTTGTTGTTGTTGTTGTT